TTGGCTTCAAGGTCTCATAGCACATTCCTGTTGTGGTTTTTCTGTTAAGTGAGTAGGCCCTCAGCATACCCAGTTCCTAGGCTCAATGGCTTACAATTGCTGTAGGCATCTGGCCTGCAAGGTTGTTCTCAGCTCTATCAGGATTGCAGCTGAGTGGGGCTTGTCCCAGGCACAAGAGTACCCAATTGTTTCAGGCTTTGGAAGGTGGAGCCAATCCCCTATGTGGCTGTTTGAGAAATACAGGTCTTCTGGTTGATATGCCCCATGGCCCACAGGTCCACACTCACCATCAATACAGTCCTGGTTCATGCACACATTCTGACCCCTTGGAGTGGACCCTGCCACTACACTGATGATGCCCCCACAACCTCCACCCTCTCTTCATGCATCCCTTGCCCCACTTGCCCACCTGCAAAGGATCCAAGCACCCAGTCTATGCAGGCCAAAAAGTTGCCTTAGGGCTTGCTGTTGGGTGGGGGTAGTCCCTAGGGTGGGCTGCCTGCCTTTGCTGAGCTTGATTAAATCAGCACTCTAGTAGATGGAGCAGGCCCTGGGCTAATATAGCAGGGGAGAACTCCAATGGGATCTTCCAGCATCTGTGACAGCCTGCCTGTAATAGGTCACAATAATGGCTGATGCCAGTGTCTCAGTCCCTGGTGAGGTCTCACCTCTCACTGAGATGCACCCAGAGCCAATTGGGTGAGTCTCCTTTTTACCAAAGGGCCGTGCCCCTTTCTCTCTGGTGATTTTAGGTTGCTTTCTGAAATGGCTGAGTTTGTGTATGAGTCCTTTAAGAGCTGGCTTTTTTCTGCTTATGTCTGCTAGCTTTCTTAGGGATATTCCCCATCACAGTTAAAAGCCAGCAAAGTCCAGATATTATGACTCTCATTTCAGTTGTCCTGAGTCCAAAGGATGCTTATATTGGTAACACTCCCCTGCTCAGGTCCCCCAATCCTCCAGGGAAGGCTTTAAACTGTAGGATTGCTCCCAGCCAGCCTGCTGTGGTGCTTGGTAGCTCATCAAGTTGGCTTTTTTCTTTCTAGACAGGAATGTCTGCCTCTTCTACCTCAGTTAGGACCGTCTCTTGTTGTAGGGGTTTCTTTTTATCCAGTTTTCAATTCTGTCTGAGGGGTAATTGTTCCAAAAATATCTGTAACTTGGTTGTGTTCATGGGAGGAGGAGAGATCAGAGTCTGCATACATTGCCATCTTGATACCTTCCATCTTGGAAACCCCCAATTTTTGTTCTATCTCCTAATATATTTCTTTTACAAACTTATCTATCTCATGAAATATAATGAGGAAAATATTCCTATGGGTATTATGATAAATTATTTATCAGTGAATCTACATTTTCTTCCTCTAACCACTATGAGAAGAGTATATTTTCAGACAATCAGTGATAGGTCTGGCAACGAGACTTCTTCTGACAATACAATGTCAGTGGGAGCATTAAGAGGTACATTCTACTTGCCGCTCACAGACCTGCTCATCGTTAGATAGAAGGTCATGTACCAAGTAACCCAGAGTATTCTGAAAATAAAATATATAAAAAAGGTCTGAGCTTAAACTATGGTCTGGAGTCAAGCTTATATACTCCCAGACTACATCACCTAAAACCCAGCCAGATGCCAAATGAGTGAATGAGAAATGAATGCTTATTTTTAAATGTCATTGCCAACCTGGGTTTTTGTAACACAACTGTAGGAATTCGTTACAGCTGCCATTTACATATCACATATATATATATATATATAATTAATTTGAGTATTTATATATTTTCTTTATATGAATATAAGGAAAGAGAATAGAAAATATAAATAATATGTATATATTCAAGAGATAAATGAATATGAAATATTAATTTATTCTCCAAATAATAATCAGATACAAGCTCTCTCCCTCTTGTAATTGAATTGTGGTAGAAATATCTCTAAATCATTGTCAAATTACTAAGCTGTATCTCAAATTCTCTCAATAATTAGCTGTTTGACCCACCCAAATATTTTTATCATTTCAATTCTTGTTTTCTTCATTATTTAACATTTTAGTTTTTCATCAAAGTATTTTCTAAGCATGATAATAAAGAGTCACAGATGGAGGAAGATAGAAAATTTAATAAAACAAGATACCTTCTAAAATATCTGAAATACAGTAGGGAAAAAATCATACATGTAAAAAATATCAAAGGACACTGATTATCACCCAATGAAAATACTAATCTCCACCAAAAATAAATCTACTCATTGATACTGCTGCACTAAAACAGATTCAGAAGATACACGTTGGTCCCAGGAAGTGGGGCAGATCCAAATGTCTCTTGTTACAGCAACCTTGTGGTTGTTGCATAGTAACCTTGACTGCCAATTAACAATTTAATACTCTCATGTCCAAATCTATCCTTCACTGCCTGTCCTGAGATAATGGAGCTGGATCCTGTAAACTTTTCTCCTTTGTCAGCTTGTATGATGTTAAGTTTTGTCAGTGAAAGGCACTGAAGAGACATTGCAGGAGATCGGGCTCTTCCTCATGGCTTTATGCTGTTTTCTCTCCTTTAGTTACTGTGGTGTGGCTACCAGCAGTATGTATGCAGGAAGTCCTGTGGTATCCACCCTCCAGCAAGTTTTTGTGTGCAGTCTCATTCATAGTTCCCTGTCTTCCAGCTCCTACCTGCTGACACTCTGGCAATGGGGTGTTCCTGCTTGTCAGTCACAGCCTGAGATCTATCTTCACCAATTTCAGCCTGCTGACTGAGGAACCACTGTGTCCCAGGGCAATCCAGTGAACATGTCTGCCATGGAGTTATCTGCAGCCACACTCTTTTCAATGATATCTGAAACCCATCCTCAGGGAGTAACCTTGGTGCAGAGTGATTCCTTCTGTGGATACTCTCCATTAATCCTAAAGTATTCTTTGTAATTTTCTTTTGCCTCCTCTTACTAGGCTACCCCCTATAAACAGCTAATAATTCTTTACATCAAACTTTCCCTGATTTCTGTCTCCTGACTCGATTCTTACTTATATACCCTACCACTCCAGGTTGTTGTGTTCTCTTTTCAGCATCTTCAAAGACTAGGACAAATTATTTAATTTGAAAACATGAGGGGAATTATTCAACTTATTGTAGATAGAAATAACATTTCTTGATATTATGATTTACAATTTATACATGATTTACTTTAATAAATAACAGAAGCTTAAGAATTGTATAATATGTACCTGAGTATATATTTTAAGAATTAATATACACAAATATTTCAAAATAATTCCAATATGAAGGGTAAAGCCTCACACAAACTATGGACACTAGGTGCTTATGATGCAATAATATAGATTCATTGTTGGTAACAAATATCCATTCTGATGAGTGATATTGATAATGGGGAATGCTATGCATGTGTGGACCCAAAAGGATATGGGAAATCTCTGTATCTTCCTCTTAATTTTGTTATGAACCTAAACCTGCTCTAAAATATAGTATCTTAAATAATTACAAGAAAATAATTGTATGGCTTTTGAAGAAACTACAAATATGTTCATTATTGATGGTGAGAGTAACATTATACCAAATTTAGGTAAGCTAAATTGCCTGGTGCTTACAAACATATATTTTTATTTCCAAACAGGATGCAGAAGAAAGTGTGTTTTTCTGATAATTAAAATATGCACAGTTATTGTCTCTCTCTAAAGATACTGGGAACCTGAAATACAAAGAATAATACATTATTAATATTGATAATCAATAACTTCCTATTTTGATCAACAAATATATTTAGGCCAATAGTCTCATATCTAAATCTGAAGATTTCCCATATATATTTCTATGGAAACAGTTAAATAATTGTGTTTATATAATTGTTGATATATTTCTTCTTTTCCTTCTAAGATTAATTCCTTCAAGGCAAAATATGAGTTCTTAAGAAACTTACAGTTTGGAAGAGAAAGTTGAGCCATTTGACCAAACCCATGAATTATTACTGGTTCTGTGGGAGAGTGCAATCCATGAAAAAACACTCAAGGAGATCAAAAAGTTCTATGAGGAAAGAAATTTTACTAGAATTCAAATAAAAACTTTTATACTATTTTGGATTTTGTAATAACAAATAAAGTTAATTCTTTCCTATTTTATAGAGTCTTTCAATTTACAACATAATGTTACACACTGGACATGTTATAAAAATGCATTATGACAAAATGAGGAGGATACATTGAAACAATAACAATTTCAGGGCTCTGAAAACTTATCAAAGGTTAATAATTTGTGAATTATTTATTATTGGAAAAATGAGCATTAAAATAGTTATGCTAAATATTTTATGTATGTTCAAAAATTATGTAGAGACAAGAAATATATAAAAAAGACCCAAATTAGATTTCTAGTGTTCAAGTGAAAATGGAGGAAACTTCTAATCTTTTTGCCTAGGACTGATCTCACACCTGGACTCCTGCCCAGGCCAGCTCAGAGAGCAAGAAGAATTGTAGTTTTTACAATTTGCATAAGGCTGAAAGAAATCAATGATGTTGCTGATACAGGGCAGATTTGATTAGCAGAGGGGAATGGATCATTAAATAGCCCACTAATATTTCACTTCAAGGTGTCGAATTTCCTTGGTAATTAATGAGGGAAACCATCCTTTTTTAAGTCCAAGTTTGTGGTCTCCTTTGTGTCAAACATAGTGCCACCACAAATATAATGGGAAGGTACTAAAAATCAGAGTACAATAGAAGAGATGACATCAGATCTACACATTCTTGGATGATGGAAAAACTGTATACACGTGGAGAAGAGAAGAAAATGGTACTAGTAAAAAGTAAAAATGAAGGGAGATTTGAGATCTGATTGCAAAGTTTTCAGCATTCTCCAAACAGAGACACACACAGACACACACACATACACACACACACACAAACACATATACATCAAATGGGAGAAGATGGAAGCTCTACTGACTTATGGTATTTGAATGAAGCCTTTAAAAAAATCATTGGTTGACAACTAAGCTATGCAATCACAAGGGCAATCCCTAAGAGGTCAGGCTAAAAAGAAAAAAAAAAAACAATAAGAACTTTAAAAAATTGAGCAGAAATATCCAGGCACACTTTAGAGAAGATGATGCAGCAAAAGTTTACACAAGTTACAAAAAGTAATAAGTGTAAGGTGGGGCTGGCCCAGTGGAATAATGGTTACGTTCCTGTGCTTCACTTTGGCACCCTGAGGGTTGTGGGTCCAGATCCCAGTCACAGACCTACACATCGCTCATCAAGCCATGCTGTGGGAGTGACACACAAATAGAGGAAGATTGACAAAGATGGTAGCTCAGGGCCAATCTTCCTCAAACAAAAAAAGAAGAAGATTGGTAACAGATATTAGCTCAGGGCCAATCTTCCTCACCAAATTTAATGACAACAGTAATAATGAATATAAGGAAATTGAAGCAAAATCCATGTTTACTACAGTATATTATCAAAAATCTCTACTTAAAATATAGAATGCATGCAAAGAAACAAAAATTGTTTGCCATACTTAGGGACAAAATCAGACAATGGAATCTTTTACTGGGATAAGATGTTAGATTTATTAGAAAATATATATATAGTAATTATTACAAATATACGTAAATTATAAAGAAAACTGTTCAAATAATTATATGAAAACATGATGGTAGTGACAAAACAAGTAGGAAATATCAATAGAGAAATAAAAACTATATAAATGGACCAAATAGAAATTCTGAGTTGAAAAATACATTACCTGAAATGAACAATTCACTAAATTGATTCTACAGAAAATCTGAGATGTAGAATAAGAACTGATGAGATTGAGGACAGAATAATAGAAATTATTCATCTCAGAAGATGAGCGAGAAGAATTAACACAATTCAGAGACTATTGAAACAGTATTAAGAAAACCCAGATAGGAGTAAATATAGTCTGAGAAGAAGAGAGACAGAAAAGGACAGAAAAACAATTATAAGACAATGAATGAACAAATTCCTAATTTTGAGTTTAAAAATATTTATAGACCCAAGGGGCTCAGCAAATACTAATAGACTCAGCACATTGAAATCCACATCTCAAAACAGCACAATCAAATGACTGAAGAACATTTGAAGACAAAGACAAAGAAATAACCTTGAGGGAACAGGCAGGATTGTTAGATGACTTGAGTCAATGTGCCAATCAGAGAATGAATGAGATATCTCCCATCTCTAGCAACACATAGGTCAAATTACCTCACACAAAATCCACATTTTCCTGAAAACTATTCCACATTGGAGGGGGGTGACATTAGCAAGATCGAGGAACAGGAAGCCACAGGCCCTCATTCCCTCACAGAAACAGCAACTCAACAATATATCCAGAAATAAACCCATTTATAATGATTTTCTACAAGGTCTAATGATTTTCTACAAGGCGTCAAGACCAATCAATGGGGAAAGAACAGCATCTTCCACAAATGGTGCTGGGAAAACTAGCTATTTTCGTGCAAAATAACGAAGCTGGAAGTTTACATTACACCATATACAAAAGGTAACTCAAAATGGATTAAAGACCTAAACGTAAGACCTAAAATTCCTGAAAGAAAACATGAGGGGAATGTAAATGACACTGTATTTGGCAATGATTTCTTGGATATGCACTGAAAGCACAGGCAACAAAAGTGAAAATAGACAAATGGGAGTGCATCAAACTAAAACACTCTGTGCATCAAAGGACACAATCAAGATTGAAAAGACAAGGTATAGAACAGAAGAGTATATTTCCAAAGTATGTCTGATAAGGACTTAATATCCAAAATATATAAGAAACTCCTACACTTCAACAACAAAAAATCAAATAACCCACTTAAAAATTGTCAAGGGAAGTGAATAGACAATTTTCCAACGAAGACATATAAATGGTCCACAGGCATATGAAAAGATGTTCAATACTACTAATTATTAGAGAAATGCAAATCAAAATCACAATGCGATATCAGCTTATATCCATTATTATGGCTACTATTAAAAAAACAAACAGAAAGTATCCAGTATTGCTCAGAAGGTGGAAAAAAAGGAACCCTTTTACACTGCTGGTAGGAATGTAAATTGGTCAGCCATGATGGAAAATAGTATGGAGTTTTCTCAAAAAAAAAATAGAATTACCATGTGAATCAGCAATCCTACATGTGAAAGTATATCCAGAAGAATGGAAAGCAAGATCTTGAAGAGATATTTGTACACCCACATTCATTGCAGTCACGAATGTTCAATGTTCAAGACAGCCAAGTGGTAAAAGCAACCCAAATGTCCATTGATGGAGGAATGGATAAAGAAAATGTTGTATTACATACAATCTCATATTATTCAGTCTTAAAAAGGAAGGAAATCCTGTCATATGATACAACATGGATGAAACTCCGGGTCATTAAGCTAAGGGAAGTAATTCAGTCACAGAGAAAAGTGTATGATTACACTTAGATGATGTTTCTACAGTAGTCAAATACATAAAAACAGAAAGTAGAATGGTGAGTGCTAAAGCTGGAGGAGTTAAGGGGACATGGGTAATTATTGGTCAATGGATGTAGAGTTTCAATTTGGGAAGGTGAAAAAGTTCTAGATAGCTGTTTTACAACAACACGAATATAGTCAACGCTCCTAAAATGTACACTTGATCACTTTGTAATGTATACAGATGTTGAATTATAATGTACACCTGAAACTTATGTAATAAAAAAAGATACTCTCAATTAAAAAAGATCATTAAGATGCGTGATATGGTTAAAAGGTATTGAATGAGATCTAAGTTATTGTATGATTTCTACTTTATGATATTCTAGAAAGGGAAAACGATGGAGATAGTAAAGAATTAGTAATTAGTTGTTGCCAGAGTTTAGCAGGAAGGAAAGGATTAATAGGAAGAACATGGAGTAATTTTAGGGCAGTGAAACTACTCTGTATAATTCTATGCTAGAGGGTGGATGTCATTATATATTTGTCCAAACTCGTAAAATGTACAACGCCAAAGTGAATCTTAATGTAAACTATGGTTTTGAGGTGATAAAGATGTGTCAATATAGGTTCATCAACTGGAACAAATACATCAGTCTTGTAGGAGATATTGAAAAAGGCTATGCATGTGAAAACAGCAGAGGTATATAGGAAAAAACTATATTTTGTCTCAATTTTTTTGTGAACCTGAAAATGCTCTCAGAAAATAGTTTATTTTTTTTAAATGGGTAATATGGTAAATTTTCTTATGAATTTTTGAAATCAGTAATAGAAAAACTACCAGTTATATATGAGAAAATAATAATATGATTAATAGATGAGTTCTTATAAAAAATAAAGAATAAAGGGCAGGGAATGCCATATTCAAAGAGGTGAAAGTAATGAAAAAAAAATAACTCCTTCACGAAAGAATTCTAAATGCAGCAAATCCATCCTTCACAAAAGAAGGTGCAATGAGGATCTTACAAGAAACAAAAACAGAGAATTTTCTATTACCAGAACTTCCTTCCAAAAATATTCTTCAGCTAAAAGTAAATGAAACTAGGGGGCAGCCTGGTGGTGCAGCCATTAAGCTGGCTGGTTCCGCTTTAGAGGCCTAGGGTTCACCAGTTTGGATCCCAGGTGTGGACCCATGCACTGCTTGTCAAGCCATACTGTGGCAAGCATCCTACATATAAAGTAGAGAAAGATGGGCATGGATGTTAGCTCAGGGCCAGTCTTCCTCAGCCAAAAAGTTGAGGATGGGTGGCAGATGCTAGCTCAGGGCTAATCTTCCTCAAAAAAAAAAAAAAAAAAAGAGTAAATGATACCAGATGGTTACTCATAGCTGCAAGAAGGAATGAAGAGTAACAGAAATGGTATTTATGTGGGTCAGTTTAAGAGTCTCTGTGTGTGTGTTTTCTTCTCTTAGTTTCTTTTTTTGTCAGTAATTTTATTGAGATCATAACGGTTTATAACTTTGTGTAATTTGGGGTATACATTATTATTTCTCAATTTCTGAATAGACCTCATTGTGTTCACCACCAGTAGTCTAATTTTTGTCCATCACCATACATATGTGCCCCTTTACCCTTTTCATTCACCCTGCAATTCCCTTCCCCTCTGGTAACAGCTGATCTGTTCTCTTTATCCATGTATTAATCATCTTCCACATATGAGTGAAATCATGCAGTACCTGTCTTTCTCTGTCTGGCTTGTTTTGCTTAACATCTTAACTTCTTTAAAAAATAAGATGATTCAAAGCAACGAGTATAACACTATATGGTTGAGTCTGTATCATATATGGATACAACCTTATGCTGGTAAATGGCACCTTGGGGGAGGAAAGAAAACCTTATTTTTTAGCATTTGTTGATTTCTGTAGTGCAAAGACACCCACAATGGTCATTTCAAGTCACCAACGTCAAATCATAAATGCAATTGAGAAAGGAAGAGCATACTGGGTGTTCACAAACCAGGTTTCAGTACAGCATTGTTAGAAGTACTACCAAGACCACAAAGGAAGGGGAGAGGAAATGGAGCTACGTTGGTGCTAAGTTTCTATGTTTTACTGGAATTTAGTCAGAATTAACTTGAGTAGGTAGTGATCAATTAAAGATATATTTGTAATATATGCAGTGACCGCTAAAAAATAATTTCAGAAATATAGCCAAACTATCAACAAAGGAATCAAAATGGAACACTAAAATAACGTGTTTAACACAAAAGTTGTCAGGAAAGGTAGAAGAAAAGAACAAAAGACACAGGCATAGAAGAAATGCCTAAATGGCAGACCTAAATCCAACTATGCCAACAACTACATTAAATATGAATGAATAAACATTCCAACCAAAAGACAGAAATTGTCATACTGAATAAAAAAGTATGATTCAGGGGCTGGCCTCAGTGCTTAGTGGTTTAAGTTCAGCACATTCTGCTTTGGTGTCCCAGGTTTGGTTCCTGGGTGTGAACCTAGACTACTGTCATTGGAAAATAAAAAGGTAAGATTCATTTGTAAGCTCTCTATAACAAACACACTTTAGATTCAAAGGCATAAATAGGCAAAAGGAAAACGATGAGAAAAGATATACCCTATAAACAGTAACTATAATGAGTAGAAATGGCTATTCGAATATTAGACAAAGTAGCTGTTAAAGCAAGAAATACCATTAGAAATAAAAAGAAACATTTCAAAATGTTAAAGCTGTCAGTACAAGAGGAAAATAAACAATTATAAACATGTATTTACCTAACAATCGAACTCTCAAACACATTAAGTGGAAACCGACAGAATTAAAAGGAGAAACAAACAATTCAATAATTACTGTTGGAGATTTAAAAGCTCTTCCCTCGGTAAGTGATAGAACAACTAGTCAGAAAATAAGAAAGACAATAGAAGACTGTAAAAACACTATGAAGTATTTTTACACATCTGACATATACAGAAAGTATTTTAGCTGTCAATCATTTAAAAGCATTGAAATAATTCAAAATATATTCTCTGAAGACAAAGCAATAAATTAGAAATGCATGATTCCATTTATATAAAGCATCTTTTAATGCAGAAAATAACATGAGAGGGTCATTTTGTCATGCAGGTAAATTTCAATTTCTCATTCTGGATGATGGTTACACTTGAAGAAAATTCAGTACGCTGTTGGATATAGTATGTGCATTTATCTGTGTGTATATTATACCTCAATAAAATTATCATAAGAGAATATGATGAAGATATGCAAATACGTTTAAAAATAGACAAAGTGGAAGAAATTCTAACAAATATAACTTGTGAAAACTTAAACAAAAAGAAATAAAAATACTAGAACTGCCTTACAACATCTTTTAGAACTTTATCTGTTATTCAAAAAACTTTCCAGTCAGGTGCAGACCATTTTGATGTTGCTTAAGTAATAGGTGAAAAAAATATATATAATGTCAATTTTATAAAATCTCTTGTAGGACAGAGAAAAGAGAAAACAGTTGCAACAAGATGAATGAAGCTAATGAAATATGTCTTGCGTATTTTTTATGAGAACATCACAAAAAAGGAAATTACATGTCAATGTCAATCATAAAGTGATATAAGGATTCCAGCAATATATAAAAATAATGAAATATGACAAAAATAGATTTATTGAAGCAATATGATGTTGGATTTACATTTGAAACTCCATAATATTAATCATATTAACTAAGTAAAGAAGATAAAATGATCTGGTCATTGTGATGCAGAAGGCCTTGATAAAATTAAGATTCATGCTTGCTGACGAAAAGAAAAAGCAAAACAATCTTTAAAAAAGATAGAAATAATGAAGAAACATCCATACAAATTCCTAGACCAGACAAGACAACTTTGAAAAAGCAGAACTAATGTAACTAATGCAAATTTATTGTGAAGAAAAAAAGAGTGCTTAATGTAGGGATTTGGCATGAAAATAGATAACCAGATCAATAAAACAGATTAGAAAGTGAAAAACCATACCCATTCGTATCTGGAATGCAGATTTCAACAAACATGCAAACTCATTAAGTGGAGAAAGTATATCTTTTCAACAAATGCTGTGGAAACAATTGACCATCAATATGCAAAATAAAATAATATAATGATAGTTATTATTATTATTATTATTGTTTTATCCACACATCACATTATATACAAAAATAAGCACAAAATTGGTTATAAAAGTATAAACTATGAAAGTTCAAGAAGATAAATTGTCTATATAAAGAAAATTAGAGCATAAATATGTGTATATATAGCTTTATATATAAATATAAAGTTACTTATGAAAAAAGATCAGTTTTGCTATAAATAATGCTCCATCATGTAGATAATGATGTAGAAAATTATAAACTTCACTTCCACCTCACAGCATCACAAAAGATAAATTCCCAGTGGATTATAGATCTAAATGTAAAAGTTGAAAAATAAAATAAAAAGATAGAACTTAGAGGGTAATGTAGGAGATTATCTTCATGAAGTTTAACTACTGTCTGAAATTGGCCCAAAATAATCACTAACACTCAAGATGATAAATTGGATTTTGATAACATGAATAAATTCTGATCATTAAAAGACTCCAATATGAGAGAATGTAAGTCACAGAGTCAAAAAAGCTACTTTCATCTCATGAAATCAAAAATGACCTCATATCCAAAATGGAACAACTTCTAGGAAAGGAAAAGACAGACACCACATAGGAGAAATGGCTAAGAGACACAAACAGGCACTTCTCATTCTCACACAAAAGAATATTCTAATGATTAAGAGACCAGAAAAATGTGTTCAATCTAATAGTGATCAGAAAAATGCCTATTAATGTTATAAAGATACTGTTATATAACAATCAGACTTATAGTATAATAGACATAATTTTTACACAATATGTAAATGTTATAAATACAATATATGTGTAAAAAGACATACACAAGGATTTTCATAAAATAATTACTCATAATACCCACATATTAAAAAGCAGCCTTGGGGCTAGCATGGAGCACAATGGCTAAGTTTGCACATTCTACTTTGGCAGCCCAGAGTTCACTGGTTTGAATGCTTGGTGTGGATCTACACACCACTCATTAAGCCATGCTGTGGAGGCATCCCGCATACAAAATAAAGGAAGATTGGAAACAGATGTTAGCTCAAGACCAATCTTCCTCACCAAAACAAAAAAAAACACCAACCAAATTTCTATCTCAGTACGATAGATTAAAAAATGTCATAACAATATAATACAGAAGTGAAAATTAACAAACTACAGATAAACGTAATGATATGAATGTATTATAAAATATCTTATGGGAGTAAAAGGAGACACATATAAAAATGTATACTGAATGCTCCATTTATATAAAGTTTAAAAGTAAGCAAAGATAATTTATTATATTAAAGATCAAAATACAGGTCAAGTAAGGAGGAAAGAGAAGTGATGAGAGTACTCTTAGGGGTGGGGCTGCTGGGGGCTAGAAACGTCTATTTTATGATTTGATTTGTAATTACAAAATTTACAGTTTTTTCACTTGCAGTCAACCTGCACAATGGTGATATGTTTAGTTTCCTTGATGTATGGTAAAACTAAATAGCAAAATTTATTTTAGAAAGCAACCAGTTATGGAAACATGGTTTTCTATGAAAAGCAAGAACTGGAATTTATCACATGTGCATTAGTGATATGAACATATAAATAAAATATTATAAAATCAAACAAGGGAATAGTAACAGACTTTAAAATAAAAACTTACAAATATGTACAAAAATATGGATGATTTTCACAAATATAATATTGACAAATTAATTAATAAATTAATATAATGTTGGAAACCTTTAAAATCTTACCATTTCTTCTTCATTATCTATATAAAGCAGGTTAGAGTTCTTAGAAGCACAGGCCATCAGACTCTCATTCCATGCTTTTCTTTCAATACTAATGTAATAGCAATTGTTGGAATATGTTAACCACTCCTCTGGACAACGATGACAGCGATATGCTGAAGAAAAATTATGAATTATTATTCAAAATAATTTGAATTTTAAAAAGTGAAAATTAACTTACATATTTGCATAGGTAGAAATATATATGTATGTAACTTATCTATGTATCCTCGTAGGCTGTTACATATAAAAGAAAACACACTCATGCACACACTCAGAGAGAGGGTCAGCCTCTAATCTCCTAATTTATGTGTTTATGTAAAGCAAAAACACAAACAAAAATATCTGCTCTATACATGTGCTTAAATTCAGGAAACAAAACCATGTTTTTAGAATAGTAAAATTGTTTCTCTCTTATCGGTAGAAAATTTGAGCCAGTTAGCAACAATGGGCATGGTGATTTTGAATGAATTTTCTTCATATTGTTGAAGAAAAAGGAAGACTGTCCTATAATTATTATATATGAACATGTATTACTTGATTTTGTAACTCATTGTCTCTCCAAAAATCTATTATCATTTTTAATTAGCCTAAGATAGAGACAAAATAAAAATATAGTAATATCAGGACTTTGAAAATCATATATACCTTTCTGATTCCTTGTTATCCAGGATAAATTGCTCTGCTCCATGATTACAATAGCTAGAAAAATTAAAGTAATTTTTATTTAAAAAATTGATCTAAATAATTCATAGTTTTAGTTTCTTACTTTGAAATTTGGTGCATTGTTTAGAATTCGAATAATCTGGAAAACTATGATTTTACCAAAAAATAATAGAGTAATGAAGTCTGGGGAAAATATTTCAAAGCCTCAAGAATCAAACTTCACCATCTCTTACAGTGTTTGCTTTAATCAATCTCAAAAATTAATTTATATTTCTTGACATTGTCTTTCAGTCTCCTAAATGTGTCTTTGAGTTATGAAATCAGAATATATATATATATATATATATACATAAAATGCTCTACGATAATTCTGTTATTTATACTTTTGACAAATTCAGAATAATCATTCCACATTTAGTCTAAATGCACACATTCAAATGAGATTTCTAGTATATAATATTGAAAACGTTTAGAGGCACTGATGATCACTAAAGTGAAAAATTCCCTTATAATCTTTCAAAAATTTACTTACGAGGAGTAACTGTCATTGTTACCACAGCAGACAGCAAGACAAGGCAGATGATGCCCAGGATCCCAGCAATGAGCTTCCCTGGAGGTGGTGGTAAATCTACAGAGAAAGACAAAAACACTGAGAAAACAGAGATGGAGATAATTGTTTAGACAGTTTGGATACAAAAGAACCCACATGCACAGGGGATCATATATATAAACTTGGAACCCAAACCCAGAACTACTATTCTAATCTTACTCTCAGAATATACCATTGTGTTTTCAGTAAACATAATGCTCCATGAGTTGTTGGTCAAAGACTCTAAATATTACCAATGTCTGGATAAAATCAGTCTTCAGATTTTATATTAGAATATCATTTTTCAGCTTCAAACTTGATCTTCACAAGTGAAAAATATGTGAGCTTATTCTCTACTCTTTTCCCACTTCTCTGCACCCCTGCTGCACTTCCTATTATATGATGTGTCTATTAAATTTTTTACCTTTGCAGTGGTCCTTCTTGTCATTCCCTTGAAGATCCTGAGAGGCATTGTGAAGATTTAATTCAGCATAGGTTATTTCCTGCTCAGTTACTGAAATGGAGCTCTTAGGACCCTTAGGTTTCATTTGCTGTTTCTTTGAGTCTTTAACAAGATTCAGTTCTGCATAGGTTACTCTTTGATTATTCATCTCTGCAGCGAGGTGATGTAAAGGACTGTGCTCTATGAAAACTCTACTTGAGTGTTTAATAGATGGTGTATATAACAACAAGATGCCTAGTATAGGCAAATGGGTGGAGTGTGAGGTGAGTAATAGTACTCATTTTGCAGTTGAACAGCGTAAAATTCTGGTTCTAATTTCCTTTGAGCTTTAAACAGGTGCTTCATGATGGAATAAGTAGTTTATAAAATGATTTTCTATGTTTGACACAAGATTATTGGTTAGAGACATATAAAGCAACAAATTAATGAGGAATAAAGAAGTTTATGAATAATACTGTCTGTATAATTTTAGAAAGGTTCCATAGAAACATTTTAACACTATTAGAGTAACTGGCTTAAAATTAAAATGCTGTATTAGAAAAAAATGATGCACCAAGTTTTATGACAATTTTTAAATCCATTCATGGTTAAAGATGAGTGTTCTAAAGTTTGGGGAATAGTAGTGTTAGCATATATAGTAATTTTCTGCACTAAATTAGTTTTATTTAGAGGCATATTTATTTATTAAAGCGGACAAGGTGTTATCAAATGATCTTTTATTTTAAGTGATTGTGGAGATCTGAAAAGTCATGAAAATTTTAAAGAATTATTTTATATCTTGAAAAATGTTACATGACACACTAAACTTACCCTAAGCCTAATAAATAATGAAAGCAAAACAATATAAAAATTTTTTAAAATATTTATTTAACACAAGTAATGGGCATTTGATTCAACAGCAAAGATATGAAACCATGAAATGATAAATATAAGTGTAGATAATTTATGGAAGAACATTGTTGTTTCAGATTTCCAGAAACATTCTATGGCTGTCAAAGTCAGTGAGGATAGCTTTAGTTGTGCAACCAATTGTAATAAATCAGATAATATAATTTATTAATTCAGTCAATGAGCTCTGCAGTCAGTGAGATCTGGAATTAATTTTGGCTTTGAAACTTACAATGTGTGACCTTTAAAAAGTTACTTAGTGTCTAGCAACCTAGTTTTACTAATCTAAAGTGAGAATAAAAATACGTGAGATATAATGCATGTAAAACACTGAATATGCAATCTAGCTTTTATGAATCCTCAATAATTGTTAGTATTTTAATTATTATATAAACACAATTTCCGTGTTATTATTTGCAATTCCTATTTGTTAAACCACGTAAAGTAATTCATTAGACAGGTGTCTCTTTACCAGTGTGTTATATCTTTTTGCAATGTTTTGTTCAATGTTTTGGTTTTTGATTGTTTATAGTTTTTACATCAATATTTAATGAAACCCATCTCAATCTGATTTTTAGTAAAAATCAAATTCCTTTTTTGTCATCTAAGTACATGTATGAGGAATTACGTTTGACATTCATGATTTGATGAACTCATTTTGAATCAATTTTTAAAGGCTGAGCTAAATACAAAATATATAGAATAATATTTATCTTGATTAAAAAATACAAAATTAACTGTTCATATTCATGATTTCTTTGTTATTTCACTTCAAATTTTATCACTTTACAAGCCTAATGATGTATGTGTATGCACTTGACTAATTTTCCAGACGCAAGAATTTGAGTAATTTAAGAGCTTCTCCAACACATTTCATGTTTTATGCTTTTTTATACCCTGAAATAAAGATACTAATGTTCTCTTTGATTTGATTGTATATTAACTGTACCTCAGCGAGATATCTAGCATTTGTAATCTCCCACTAAATGAGATGGGCTAGTAGACAGAAGAGTTGCCACACATACCTTCTGTTGTCCAGAAAGTGGTGCATCCTCTAGTGGGAGGCTGGGTTACTCTTGTACACAAACAGTATCTGTGGTCTTCACGCACTGCCCTGTGAAGATGCAGAGTGAAGCAATAGCAGAAAAAGTAGGTTTCTCATCAATGTGTCACAGGAAATTATTACACTTGGGCTATTTCAAAGACAGTTTTTCCATCTCACACCTCCAAAATATAGGACATTGGAGTTTGTAGTGTGTCTTTTAGTTTGTCCATTGGCATGTGCCTCTGAAAAAAATTGTTTTGATTTTCTAAAAGATATAGGGGGACAGAGATATGACCATCCCATGGTATTAACTTGCTTCCAACTCAATCAAAAACACTGAAAACTTAGGCCTTGTTTTGATGTTTTAAGTTTTCCTTTCAGACCAGTTGCTAAATTCTGGCAGTACATACTTCTTTTCCTCTACCCTGATTATGTCATTTCTATTATAGAGAAAATTCTAAATTCTAAAGGTCTCTGAGAAGGATAAAACATTTGTTTTATTAAACATATTGTTTAAATATTGAACTATATCATCATGCCAGAGGTTGAAATATTAAATTAGCACTTATTATATCATCATTTATTCATCCTCCAACCATAACTTGTAGTCTATATTTTAACAGGTATATTTGTTGTAAATGACTAAAACCAAACTAAAACTACGTAGATGGTGAAAAATATATGTTTTTAAAAAATTTCACTTAACCAAAAATGGAGGGAGGAAAGTAGATTTTTAAAACACAAATTAAAATGATATGTGAACACCAAAAGAAACAAACCTTTAGTTTAAATGACTTAGGTGTGGCAAATAGAATTCTTTTCATCATTCTTCATCTTCTATCAAAAAAAGGGGAAATGTTTATTATTCCTAAGAATATTCACTTCCAATGAAGTCTCTAAGAGATTAAATTCAGAAAAACTCAAATTAACTTTCTAAAATTTAGGAAAATGGTAACTGAATACGTAGTTATATCCTCCTAATCTAGGCTAACATTTGAGCCTTCTATAAAAATGGCTAATGTTGGCTCACTGTATGTGTATTTCCATTAATTACATTTTATTATATTTTCATAAAATTAATTAATAATTTCTCTTCTATTAGCCACATTAAAGAATTATAATGCTCAAGTTGTTTATTAATGAAGCCAAATAATACAAAATTCACTAATATTGTCTTTTAAAATGTCTTTTTAAATTTGAGATACTTATATCTACAATTCTTATGGTCATCTACCTTGAGGTTTTCAATTAAATAATGTTATATATATCATGTACTTTTGTTACATGTAAAAATATGGGTTTATTCTAACGGCATTTAACTTTAATGAAATGTATGTTCAGACAATACAAAGCCACAGTGAAATCACTCAAAATAATGAGTAGTTAGAATTTATTCCTTATTACAAAAATACTACATATATTTGTGACTGTTTCTAATAATAGTAATACCTACTATTGACTCAAGAGAGTTGCATAAATTAGAAGTCAATAACAAGTGAAAGTATGATTTAATATCATGGCAGTATGTATTCATTTTCAAAGATCTTTTTAAAAAAAGGAGAGAATTAATTATCAAATAATTCTAAAGAAAATAGTTAAGGATCTTTTAAAGCTGAAACACTTATTCTAAGTGAAAACTTGGATATGCAGAAAGGAAAGAAGAGTTGAAGAAAAGCAATTATGTGGATATATCTATATGGATATTGAGCGAATAAAATATTGATGATACGGTTTCAAATTTCAAAGTATATATTTGTAATAGAATTCAAGGGAGCAAATAGTGCATAAGCAGTAAATAAAAGTAGGGCTTCGTTAGGTCTTTTCACTGCTTGAGAAGCGGTAAAAGCACTATTTCGTCAGACATTAATTAGTAAAGAAAGTATGCTGTAAAATGTAAAGCACTGATAAAGAATATTTAAAGCATATTAAATTAACAAGTTCTTATAGAGGAAAGTGAAAATAAAGATATTTATTGTGAAAGATAAGAAAATAAATGAAAAGTAAAGTTCAAAGAAATGGTAGTGTTCATCTCAAATTAAATAGTAACTATATTATACCTAACAATTAATTACATCTACATATTTACACATATAAATAAAATAGATAACTGACACTGCATTGTATCATAATCAATAATTATCTTAAATATAAATAGAGAATTTTTGATTTAAATTCCAAGAATGTTGATATTTAAAAAACTATTAATGAGACACTCCTTTAACATAAGCATAAAGATAAAAGTAAAAAGGTGAAAAAATACACCACACAATACAAACCAGTAGAAAACTGCTATAGTTAATGTACTGTCACAATATATCACAAGAATCATTGTTGGAAACGATGAAGCATGTTTCACCATAATAGGTTGAATATCAACATCATTAACAATGTTTTTTTTTTAATCTGTATGTACTCAACAATACAACTTCAACATAGATTTGAAAAACGTGAAGGAGTAAAAAACAGAAATGGAGATTTACACAATTCTTTCACTGCTTATCAAACAAACAGATGTATCAGTAAGGCTATAGAAATATTTAAACTAGACAACCAATATATATACATACACACACAATATACTAACATAGAATACTCATTTTAAGTTCACATGGAAATTTCCCAAAAATACACTATATAGTCATATTTCTAGGCATTTTAATATAAAATATATAGAACCATAGTGTCACTGCAGTAACTGCTGGCTAAGTTTGACAAGTTGCCACTAGAAATTTGCATATTAAAATTTAATTTTTAATTAATTAAAACTAAATAAAATTTTAAAATTGGTTTCTCACACTAGCCACACTTAAACAGAGTTGTAGAACATTTCCAGCTTCACAAAAATTATCGAACTACAGTTTGTAAAAAATAGACGTTAATAACCAAACAACTGAGAATCTTTATATGGTTCCAAATACAGTAATACATTTATAAACAACATGTGGGCCAAAGAAATGATCACAAAGAATATTCACACTTTTATATGAATTATGAAGAAAATATAACAGCAAAATTATGTCTTGTGAAGTATTGACTGCATTAAATGCGTATGTTACAAAAGACAAAAAATAAAAGCAGAAATCAGAGCATGCATCACAAGAAGCTAAAAATGGAAAAGCGACAATTAGATGAAATTAAATTCAAATGAAGCAGAAGGAAGAAAACAATAAATAGTAAAAACTCAAATCAAGGAACAAAGTCACGGTAGAGAGGATCAACAAGGCCAAAATTATTCTCAC